GATTGTTTATAATGAGGAAGGGAATGCACTGAGTGTCAAACTCACTCTCTCCGCCACCGCCAGCATCAATTCACTGCCTATCCGGTCGGCTGTAGCTGTCAGGGCAGGCAAACCGTCTGCGCGCGCCACAGCAGGACCTGGCCCCTTGACACATAGAACCAGGGGATTGGAAAGATTCCACGCTCTCTGACTCCCTGTCCACTCATTAGCCACCACACACATAGCACACACTTAGGTAATTGGTCTGTTCATTGTTAGTTGGCGGTGCTCAAAAGCAAACAAGCTCACACGTCAGATGCGCCGCCACCCTCGATCAACGACATCATCACCCCTGCCACAACCCTGCATCGCTAACGCCGGCGACCATCACAAACACCACTACATCTCCCATTCCTACTAACGATGGGATCAGTCGTCCCAACCTGTCCTCACTGAAATCGCACAGTCACCTCAGGAAACAGCCTGGTAAGCCACTTGCGTATCCGTCAAACTGTGACCAGCGCACCAATGTCAGGCGCTTCGACATACACTGACGCGAGCCCGCCACTCAGCGCATGGGCTTACTCAGTTACATGCGCACCGACGAATATTAAGCATACCACAATAATGACAAACCAAAACTTTGTCATCCCCAGCAACAGCAACTCCCTATCCCCTAGCACGACTACCACCGGCAGTATAATCACCTCAATCGTATCAGCAGCCTCAAATCTACTCTGTTCTCATTGCCACTGCAAATGCACATCACGTAACGGCCTGGTCGGTCACCTGCAAATCCATCGCACAGAGGTTGATGAACCAGTGCCAGGAGCACCAGTACAAACGTAACATAACCGCCTTAATTTTTAGAGTTTTCCACACACATTCACTAAATGCCTCCCTGAAAACCTGCTGTATAACACCACCGGTTATATTACATCACCATACCTCGTCTCACCAGCACCTATATCACACATGCCCACGCCCAAAACTGTATAACGAAAAGGCGCAATTGGCACCTCCCACGTAACTGGGACGTATGTTTAACGACTATTTTATATGTGGTTCCTCCAATGCATGTATGATTCGAGCCTTATACTATTACGGTGCGAAGAAGAAGAAGACTCGATCCGGTCAAAATACCGGATGTAGGCGAATGGAGAGGAAGGCATTTGCTAGATGCTGTGTATTTCTGCCACTGCAATAATTTACTTTATCTACGCGGAAAAGGAGTTAAAGAATGAGGTTATACGTTGTACAGAACGATATTAACCTTTTAAAATAAACGCAACAAACTGCTTTGGATGAAGAAATATAGAATTCACACTCCTACCTCGTCTGTTTTTGTGCCTGCATCCGTGGAGCAGTTGTTTCCTAAATTAGACTCCAACTGACGAAGATTTTTCAGGATTATTTCTACTTGTAAGCAGTGGGGGTGTGACTGGCAGTATCTATCCAGCAAGTTGGAGATCACTAGGGCCGACTCCTTCGCGTCAGTTTTCTTTAGAAAATTCTGTATGAAGAAGCGGGAAAATGACCGAATTTGATTAAATTAGAAGATGCATTAGGGTCGCGGTTTAGAAATCATCATTACAAAGCATTTCGAAGCCCATCTAAGAATAAGCGAGTACAATTTTCTCCATTCTCTGTATCCCCTTCAAGGCTTGCAATGGGTCATGGCGCCGAGGACTGTCAACTTACGGGAGAATGGGAGTTTTTGAAAGGACTAGATGACTGAAAGTCAGGATGCAATGGCTGTTTCTTAAGAGCACGTTTATGAAGTCCCAGGATGCTCTAGTTCCGGGTCACCCTCATGGAAGCCTAGCCCATTAAGTTCTATCAGCCAATGTGGGACCCACGTAGACGGGCCGTTTATCTTCGTTGTCGTTGCATCCAATCTAATCAAACGTTGGCTGACCGGTTCAGACAATTGATTGGAGCCTGTGAAATGGAAGGAAATTTGAGTCGACTCTATAAAATCCATTCCCATGACGAATCAACGTATTTGTCACTATAATGGATGTGACATACCTGAATGTACTAGGAAGGGCTAAGTGGGATGATCTGGAGTAATGTCAACTAAAGCAATAAGGTTGTGGTTGTAGGAATATTTAGAGAAACCGGAGGGCTGCGAGTCAAGGTGTAATGACTTGTGGTTAATATGCACGGTGTGGCATTTCCACCCATCTGACATACGATTTAGGTTTAAAGTAATCCGGTACATAGAGGATTGAGGGACAGCTCATGGGGGTGGCACATAAAGACCGGCCGTTTGGTTTTTTCTGTGACCACGTTCACACCCACACCCGGTGACTGAAGTTCCACACGTGATCCGCCATTTGGCATCGAGCCTTAGGTCCCCTAAGTGGATGTCTAGATATATTATACCTCAACAGGTAGGCGAAAAAATATGAGAGTCGTTTTATGAAAACAACAACTCTATTCAAGGCTTGTAGAAACAGTAGATATCTTGCTCGTCAACTCTAGCTTGTTTATGGGAGTTCGGTAGAATTCAATTTTGGCTCCCTGATCAGTACGTGAAAGCCCTATCGTTCTGTAATACAGGACCCGTCGTACTAAAGAGTACACAGTCTGAGCAATAAAAAGGAAAGGAAAAAAATAAAGTTTATTAAAGTAGAAAAAAAAGGAATGAGTATTTATCTTATCCAATGTTTGTCAACAAAAAACGCGCCATAATTAAAATGTGCAATTATGCAAATATTGGAAAATAACTAAATTAAATTGTACTTAAACATATAAGTAGGTAAGTAATTTAAGTAAATTACCCTGTGTATTTATGGCGAGCTATTTTGCTGCGGAAACGTTAGGTTATTTAAACAATTTCTGAGACCTCAATTATGATTCCACCGGGAGTTCTGACCGTTCTTGAACATTGCTACCGATGGTGTGAGACAAGCGTTTCGAAATATTCCAGCCAGGGCGTGGCGTTCGATGACTGGCCGGCTGATCCGCAGACATCACTTTCGGAAAAATATCGACTTATCGATTAGCTTCACGGGTGGGAAAAAAACATCACGCGTGGTCGATATTGCTATGCGCGCTAATTAGCTTTCTGGCTTAACATGCCGTGGCAAACTGGGCACGTGGCGCGGTGCTTAGCTTTGTCCTTTTGTCATAGGCCGCTCTGTAACAGGATATTACTTGCCGGTTGCACGGGATGTGCCAAGGATGATGATTCTAGAGTTTGCTCGTAGCAATTTTTACCTAAACAATATCATGACAAAGTTACTAGCAAAAGAGATGCTACTGCTTAAACCACTGATATGGCTTTTAAGTGCTGTTCAAGCATGGACTGAAGCTAATATCTTACCCCGATGATTTCAATCTGTTCAAACGTTGGCGAGGGTAGCAGACTGAGTTGGAGAATAGGCACGTTTAGCCGACCCTTGATGATTTCATTCATCAGGTGGTTGAGGGCTGCCTTGGTTCCAGCATTGACAATTACCTGGGCCAGAAGGTCCCTAAATGATAATGCGGATATAATTCGGAGGTAGCGCGATAGGGTCATTAAGTATTGTAAATTCTCTCACTTATGAAATGTCATTCGAAATTCTGAAATATGCTTCCGATTTGAACATACTTATTGAGTGTGGTCGTAATACTGCTTATCGTAGAGTCTACCGGAATGGTCAGTCTCACTTGTCTTTGCCGGTAATACTAGCAGGGCCTCTGTCAAGACCCCAGTCAGAGCAGGACATATAAGTTTCGTTAGCGGTCGAATGAACATTCATCAATCAGTGCCAATATCCCTCGACCTAACCCGGCAAGACAACGAGCTCGTGGCTCAATGGTGAGAAAGTTTGACTCTGATCAAAATAGGTCACAAGTTAGAGGTTCAAGTGGAAGGCCATTTGAGTCTGGGTATGATGGCTGAAAACGGCCTATAAACCAGAAATAGTCATTCCAGTCTCCCTTGTCTTTGCCAGTGATACTATCTGCCTACAAATTTTCTTTAAAAAAAGCAGAAACTTCAAGCCAGATGTTTCAGAAAGTGCACAGGAAATGTTGGACTACTCAGTGATGAGCCGACTTCATCGCGTCTGTCTCGAGCAGCCGGTTTGGTAAAGATTATTACTTAGATTAAATCGAAATATACCCCGTTTTCGAGTATGAATTTGGAAGCAGATAAAACGCGTATATGAAAGACTATTTTTTGTGTTTTTGTTTTTTACCGTAGGCTCTACTTGGATTTCTGGGGAATCGAACATCACTGGACAAGAATCATATTCAATGAGTGTTCATTTTACAGGGGGTTTCCGAGCAAACAGAAACCTCTGTTCCCTTGTACAGTATAAGTAACACGGAGCCATGAACAAAGGAGCGTGCACAAAGTCTGTCCTGGCCGCAGGAAGGCGGCGATGCATATGGAATGCCTACGAATAGAAGCGAATATGCGTGCTCCAGGTTCTTGTTGTAAAGAAGAGGAAGACGCAATCTCGAAAATCAGCATGAAGCACAAATGTACATACCAGTAATTACTTCTTTTTTGCAAGAGTAGTTTGTTCTGGTCGCTGGAAGAGTGCCAACAGCTCATCTCTCATAAACCACCTTACAATAGTGGTCCTTGGAAATCAACTAAGTAGCCCCACTTTTTGTCCTTTTTTACTGCTTGAAAGTAAACATGCAAATGGTCTTCCCTAATGACAATTAAGCATCCCGGCAACGCTCTACGACGGAAGCATCCTCTGAAGCCCCATGTGTTTATTAACGTCTTATTTTTAGAAATTAACACACATTCTGTCAGCAAGTACGTTTTTGCTCATTTTTGCAATGGCTCAATCCACCAAACGAGATGAATCGGCGAAAGGTATCGGAGACTACTTAATCTTTATCGACAGTCTTCATCTTCAAGCCAAAAGTAAACGCATTATAGATTAATATTTTGTTTCTGATGTAAGAATTGTCAAATTAATTTTATAAATCTGGGGTGTATCATTGTTTTACGAAATTATACTACCGTAAAAAATCTTGTTTTAAGTGGAGTACTTGAAATTTGCATTGGGTTGTTAGTTTTCCCCAAAAACACAAAAAGACGCAAACGCAAAAAAGACTTTTCTCTATAGCCAATACAGAGCTAACAGCAGAGACAAGGGCAGGCATTATTTCAGACGGTGTTTGTGCCAGTTTCTGCAGAATGAAAATTGAACAGTTTAGAAAGAGCAATCAAGTAGACACATTCTTGCTTGAAAATACGCATCCCAAGAAATATTATTTGCGAGAAAAGATTCTTTGGAAAACAGGAACGAAATTAATTTTAAATGTTCGACGCTGGCATACCAGGTCGTCTTCGGACGTGAGGGAAATGAGTGAAGAATAGTGCGACCAAAAGTAAGCCAAAAGTCACAGACTTCGGCTGATTGATGGGCTATTACGGGGATGTTCATTGGAGGAAAGAAATAGACTTTAGTTCGTTCAAATAGATAATCAGGAGACCTTCAAGCTTACTCGGTGCCATAATAATAACTTGTTATGACCCGCCTTGGTACTTCTAATCAGCACGAACCGGTACCACAAGAGTCCGTAGAAGAGAGACAGTGAGAAGACAAGTTGGCCAGACAAAGTGTCTACTCAGACAGGAGCACGGTACAGCGCGTAAATGCAAGCAAGCGCAAGTCAGTCAGACACAGAGTGTATGTACTTTTAAAGGAACGCGAGAGACAGACATTGTCCGACAGTGCCAATCAGGATTTAGCCGACAAGACTGGCTTACGGCCGGCGGCCCTCGCGAAGCCGTTGAGTGCGTTGACTCATCATGGGACGTACGGCGTCCCAACATAACTACTGCTCGATGTGATCACGACGAAAATGAATGTTATTTTTGTAACGTTATTGTGTCCTTAGGTGTGTCAGACTTAAATCGAAAGCCAGAGCCCAATATGTAACATAGTCATTATTTTAATTAGTTCATGCCAGTCATTCTATTATGGAAACAACTTGAAGAAAATTAACTTATAGATATATATCTGAATCACTTACTTGGCCTGTTCTGTGTCTTTGTAGATATTGTACAGTTCTTCCAACTGTTTGAGTTCCATTTTGCGCACAAGGCGAATCAAATTTGCAAAGAAAGTTGCCCGGTCAGTGAAATCACTCACCAGAACAGCAGCAATACTTTGACTAACTTCAACCATGTCGACAGCCTGGTTATCAACATCAGCAAAGTCTGCGGTGTGCCCAAATGCTATTCTTTTGATCGGCTCTTCTTTGTCTAAAAAGGTTTGCCCATTTTTATAAAACAAAAAATGAATATCTTACATCAACTTTTAGTAACGTGTCTATGTTAAATATTTTGCCGTTTTTAATAGCGTTTTCGACGGCAACGCCTATATGATGAACTTAAGTTTTCTTGTTCAGAAGAATGTTATAAGTCATAGAGGGTCTAAACTCAACGCAGTCCGTGATATCTCATCCAAACCCCTTGAGACAGAGAGCACTTTGATTTAAGAATTTGGTTCCTTGCTCTGTCGGCACCGGCATGGCATGGTTTTATCCGAACACGCCTTAGTATGTAGGTGTTCATACACTGGCAAGCTACGTGAATGATACCTGCAGCGTTATCCAAAGAACTACGGTGATCGGCGTGTTGAGGCGCACCATAGTTAACCATAAGAAAGGTTTCCCGATGACAATACCCTCAGCGAGTGCTCAGATTGAATGGTTACACATACCTACGCAAATGAGAAGGAAATTCAGATCGCGCGGAGCTCAAACTTTGTGGGCGTTCCCGTATGCCACGAAAGATTTCGAAGCCTTCTCAGGCCAATTCCAATTTGACTTGTGCATAGACGCATAAATAGCTAGCAGGAGTCGGATGCTGAGGTGGAAAGACTCAATCCCGCTGCAGGACATGTCCGGAGTCATTCAACGGATCCGATGTAGTGATAGAAAAAGCAACTACGTCGGCAAACGGTCCAACTAAAAGTTCGCTGCTCGAATCACATTTTACTGACTGGCTGTCGATTTTTAGGCGTACTTACTTCCCTTTCCCATTCATATTCAACTCACAAACTTTTTCTGAGCAGATGATTCGGTCACGGAGAGGGAGTGGGACCAAATGTCGCTTCCAGTGGCAATATTGGTGATCCAGATGACCGATCAATTCTGACGCTAACAGCCACCATCACGGTAAAAATTACGGCAGTTGCAAACTTATATATGGACTAACAGGTAACCGTCGCATAAAAAGCGATCAATGCCGGTGCTCAAGGGACCCGCTTGTGGCAGTAACGTGGTTACAAGACTGCTGCATCTTATATATACGGAGATCCTTGTACGACCATTGTCCTGTGTCTGCAC